CCCCACCCCCCCCTCCCCCTCACCCACCCCCGCACCCTCACCCACACCCGCACCCGCACCCGCACCCGCACCCGCACCCGCACCCGCACCCGCACCCGCACCCGCACCCGCACCCTCACCCACCCTCAAGCAAAAAAAAATAATATTTTATCTTGAATGTTCTTTGTTGATTTCTCGTTATTTCAATTCTCGCTTGTTGGCATGAACAAACAAATTCTCTGCTTTACTCAATAAGAATATAATTCCCATTCATACGTAACTATGATGCATTTCGTATGCATTGTTTTTTTTCTTCTAACGAAACGTCTGTCATTCTCAATTCAAACGTGTATGATTTCTTTTTTCTTCTCTCTTTTATCCCACTAAAGTAATTATAGGATGCGTTCAAAAAGTTCCCAGAATAGTTTTATTAACAAAGAGTATTTCATAAATAATAACCCCGTTTTTGTTTCCCTTCTCACTTCTCTGTGTACTATCGTGAACAGGTAATCAATATAGGTTTTTGAAGGACATCTACATGTGAGTAAAGTTTTAGATCGAGAATTTGGAATTAAATTTGCGCTGGCACAATATTGATTGTTACGGAACAGAGTCTCCATTGAAAGTCATTTAAGTTTCATCGTACCTACCTACTAGCATATGTCTGGAAAAGTTCAAGAACCGAATGAACTATCGATTCAACACGCAACCTATACTACTGTTAACCTACTGGTTCCGAAAACACTTTCGCTCACATCCGATGAACAACTTGAATACGAAAAATGGCCATTGATTAACTATGAACGATTAGAGGCCAAATCAGTTCAGGAACTTCTTTTCGAAGTAAGAATAAAGCATTTTGTTTTTATTTATTCAATGAATTTACCGTAGGCTGCTTCGGAAAAAGATTTGAAAAAATATCCAGAAAAATGGAAACTATTCAGAGATGAAGCACACAGACAAAAACTGTCAGTTAAGAAGTTAAGAAAAATGGTTAGCACTCCAGATAGTGAGAGACAATGGACCGCTCTTCATTACGCTGCTGATTGTAATAATGAAGATTTATGTAACATTCTGACGTCGAAAGAAGACAAATTCCAATGCAGTATGCTTGATTTTCACTAAATATAGCAGTATTTACCACTTCAAAAAATATCAATATAGATGTTAATGTTCTCGGTGGTAATGGCGAAAATGTTCTACACGTGATATCTCAATCGAACTGCATTTGGAGTAATGTAAGTATTTACAAATCCAGAGGGCTATATACACTCACACCTCTTAGGCAGATGTATATCAATTTTATTCATGCCACTGATACTTTAGTCGAGAAACTGTTAGTAGGATAAGTTCTTGGAATCTAGGAACATTTAGAGTTAAGTATTAGTATAGCAATGGATACTTATATGTTTTTTTCTGTACGTTAGCATTCCAGAACCGGAGGAACACCTCCTCTACTCACCTTGCTTATTAAAGAACTTGATGCTCATATCAGCCATGCTGATGATGAAGGTCGAACGCCTTTACATCTGGCTGCAATGCGAGGCCGATCTTTCTATGCCGAATATTTGATCAAACGTGGAGCCAAAGTTGATGTAAGAATAAACAGTTCTATATCATAAAGACTTCACTCTGTTGTATAGGTATTAAGTAAGCTTAATTTAAATGTACTACATTTTGCTCTCCTTCCTGTAAATCCAATGAATGCAGAAGAACTTGATTCATTTGTGACATATATATTAAAACAATCGGAGGCAAAAACAAAGCTATTGGATCACTGTACGCTAGATAATAGAACACCTCTAGTTTTCTTAGCGTTTCATCCAGCTATGATACGTTCGGCACTAGTAGATAAAAAGGAAGGACAACAGGCAGCTAAAGATTCTCTTATGAAGACATTCACCGAAAATATTACAAACAAAAAACAAATTCTACTTGTATTCGATATGGTCGCACGCCGTAAACAGCCTCAACAGTTTGATCATTTAAAACATCTTTTGGAAGTAAGTGCACTTCACAATTAAAAACAAATATGATCACCCATTAGGAATTTGTGAATATAAATTCTGAGATAATTCCATTTTACGAGGAAAACTTTGAAAATTCATTTAAAATCGATCGTTTTTCATACGAAGTGTCGTTTTATTGTTGTAAAGATATCGATATCAAAATATGAAAAACAGCGATTCCACGATCCGTGGCCATATCCAGGACAGATACTTCATCTTGCATGTCGTCACAACAATGTAGACCTGCTCAGATGGCTTCTTAATGAACCAAAAGCAAAGGAATATTGCTTCACGGTCAATAAAGCTGGGTATACACCATTGTTGACGGCAGTATTTTATAATGCAAAAACATGTGTTGAAGAGCTGATCAAGGTACGTACATTCTATATTTTATTTAATATTACTAAGCAAACGACAATTGGTGGAGAGATCTTCAAAGAATACTAGAGAAGATCTATATTGTATAATTTAGAGTATAAATGATAAGTCCCAGTCGCCTTTTCTTGCCGTCGGAGCTATGGAACAAGACAATATTTTGCACATCTGTGCTAAGCGTCAAGTATCAGAAGCACTTTTCGAATCAGTCATCAAAATTCTCTCTGCGGAAAGCAAAGAAAAATTATTACGAGCAAAGGACAATGACGGTAATCTTCCATTGCATTTAGCAGTGAAAAGGAATACAGATAAAGAGTCATATATTTGCAAAATACTTATCGATGAAATCAAGCAAATCAAATCTCTGGATGATTCAAAAAGTAATGGTGGAGGAATCTCGCAACTACTTGATATGTTATGCATAAAGAATCGTCGAGGAAAAACAGCAGCTCACGAAGCAAGCGAACAAGGACATGAACATATTCTTAAAATCATGTGGAACGCGCTTTCATTAGACGAGCAAAAAGATCGCAAGAGAGGGTTGTTTATAACAGACGATCATAACAGACTTACCTGTTTGCATATGGCAGCTATAAGTGAAAACGATAAAAGTGAATAATTTCATCTTTTATCAGTACAATTTTAATTGATTACTTTTATTTAATTCAGGACTCAACGTAGTCAAATATTTGGTAGAAGAAGTTCATGTCGAAATTGATGCTATTGCTGACCGACGGCTCAGTTCACTTCATCTTGCATGTGAATACGGACATCTTGATGTAGTTGATTATCTTATCGACAAAGGTGCTTCGATTACATTACGTAACGCTCAACTTTTTAATTGTCTAGAAATTGCCATTCAAAAGCAGCATGAAGACGTAGTGAAATATTTATTACAACGTCCTAATTGGCGAGAAATGATGCGAAATGCACAGCCGATTGAAAATACAGATGCCTATGATACGCCAATGAGAAAATTAATTCGATACTTGCCTGATATAACTATTTGGATGATAGATGAAAAATTAACACGGACAGTTGGCGGTCCTGATCAGAAGACTTTCCAAGAAATTTATGATTACGAATTCTATGAAGATATGTACGTAATCAAAGATTGGTACGCTCAAGGTAAAGTTTTTTTGCATTCTGATATACTGATGCATATTGTAATAGGTGCCGAGTTACCTCCTGAAGATACATCATGCAAGGCTCGATGTCATAAACTCGGTGTTAATGCTATATTTGGGTGTTATTTTAGAGATACATTTTGTAACTCAACTGTTAAAGACGAAAATTACATTGACAAGGACGATAGTCACGCAACAGATATGTATAGTCGTGATTCTTACACACTAGTACGTAATAATCCTCTATTCATTGTTTCGGAACAAAATAAACATCCGAAATTAGTCGCACATCGATTTCATCTTCATTTACGTAAGAAAATATTCCGACGATTCAGCACATATTGGTTGGCATTCTCATTTCTCTTCTATATTATTCTACTCAGTTTGTGGACTGCAGTGGTTCTTAGTGGCAAACACCCTCAATATTTCTATAGTTTAGCTAACATCGATATGACGCTAGACATCGATACATGTAAACAAGTTTCTGATAATCTCGTTTCTCGGAATGTCGGGGAAGCATTAAAGACTAATAGTTATCAACGCCTTAAAGTAGCATCTTGAGGGTGTGGGTGAGGGTGTGGGTGAGTTATGTATATTGGAACCCTACAATCTAGATTTCGATCTTTTCCAAAGATCGATCATCAGGTAGGTTAATAACTGCATTGAAATTCAAATTCAAAAAGAAATTAGAAAGACCAATTAAAGTCCACCAAAATTCAAAAGAATTGAATTCAGTAGAGCAGGATATACAAGGGTGAGTTATGTATATTGGAACCCTACAATCTAGATTTCGATCTTTTCCAAGGATCGATCTTGAGGGTGGGTGAGAACAGCTACCAAGACACGTGTTTCGACTCGGCTAAGAGTCTCATCAGTTGGCTTCAATCTCTAGTTCGATTCTAATGACTAGAATCAAGTCGAGATAATTTACAATGTTACAAATTTAGTACAAAACCAAAATTGTAATAGTAAATTTCCACGAATGGCAGTGTGAAAACAATTACCACGAATACTAAAGTATTTTCACTTTTATAGATAAAGATTATCAAGTGGCAAGTATTTGTATAGAAAACTCACGAAGAGTTAATACAAAATACTTAAAAGAATTCAATTCTCAAAAGAGAATAAATTGATATGCCCACTGAATCTGTCCGGCGCCTAGTGGCCGGGCCTTTCGAGGCACCCTGAATATGTGAGGGTGTGAGATGAATTACCACAAAACTAGAAGTTTTTCACTATAGTTCGATATAGATTATCAAGTGGCAAGTATTCGTATAGAAAACTCACGAAGAGTTAATACAAAATACGTAGCAGAATGGAATTCTGAAGAGAAGAAATTGTAATATTGCATGGATAGTTTTAAGTATATACTTTACTTGAATATCCTGTTACATGTTGAGATCCTCTTGCAACATAACTGCTGTGGATCATAGTATAAGAATCGATTTCTGTGCGTTCGTATATTATACGTCGAAGTGTCTAGAACTTGTTGTGCTTGATGAAATTTTTTTTTCAAGGATGGATGGAAAGTAGACTATCATATCGGATAGAAATTGTTTATGTAGGAATAGTGAAATTCTGTTGGATTGAAATGTAATGTGATGAACATACAAGAAAACATTATCAGTTTTTATTGAATGTATACAAAGACTATTAGATATGTGTTTGATATTACTGAAATATATATCCAATGGAGAATATATGGCTAAGGACAGAGTACTTACATTAAGGATGTGAATCGAATATTGAGACGTACAAGTGAATAAAATAATGTTTTGTATATATCTAGAATAATAAAAGAGAAGATAGTCAGTATACAAATGAGTAGAAGTAATGAATTAGTTTATTAATCATTTAAGAAGAAGTTGTAGTATGTTGGTCGAATGACATGATACAAAGGAAAATAAGAAAAATGAAAGTCTGAACTCTATTGAACAAGTTGATAGAAAAGTTATATCAATGATTTATTATTGTTTATGGATATTTGTTGGAAATAAGATTTTTGATGTTTGTTCAATACGAAATTGAGCACATTGAACCATATTTAATTGACGCTTTTCAATGATATCCATAACTGTATCGACACTTGGTAGTTTTTTAAATTTTTCTCGATTGTTTAAAATTTTTTGTTTTTCATCCAGTACTTTCTTAGCGTATTGATCAAGGTATGCTTCGACCTTAGAGATTGTTTCTCGTATTGTATTTTCTATGAACTGTTTGATAGGAGTAGTTGAATGTGCTATGGATGAGTATTGTTGATTTAAAATAAGGTGTGTAAATATAGTATAGATTTTAGTTAGTCCAAGATCTTGAATTGTATGCAATGTTCCTGTAGAAGATTTTGATGCTGTTAACCAATTTTTGAATAAATCTGTCTCATATCGAAGTTTATATTCGTCAGCAATAGTTTTCCAAATAATTCTGGCAGAATGTATCTAAATATAGATTTAATCAAATAAAAGCTATCGCTGTTAAGCTTATATATACAAACTTCAGTTTGTCTTGGTTTTAAGTTGTAAAATTTTTGAACCAATTGATGATCATAAGCATCAAATTTTAGAATAGTTTTACGTCGTTCAATTTCCATACGTAATTGATATAGATCTTGATGGATAACATGATTGATGATGTTCTTAATTTGATCAATTGAATTCATAAGAATATCAGGCATTTTTGTCATATATTCATCACTATCATTATTAATTTTAATGAGATCATTTTGGTATTTTTTTTGACGTTGTTCAATTAATACTTTTGAACGACCATAACTGTTTGACATGGAATTACTAGCTGCCATATTCTTCGATACTCTTCCGGTCCAGATACATTCTTTCATACCAAGATCATAATAATATTTCCATTGTTCATTCTGGATTTGTAAATAGTATGATGTATTGATTAATTGAGTTAAATGACGTATAAATGTCAACACTTCTTCAATCTTTAATAACGATCCGAATGATGTTATTTCTATATCTAATGTGGTTGCTGTTGTTAATAACATTTTTTCAAAATCTTCATTTGAAAGTAATGAATAGTTTGATAAGAAGACCGTGGGATCTATATTTGATTTAGTATATAATGGAAGATACTTCTTCTTCTTCTTTGTCATGGATAATGTTTTCTCTCCAACCAATAAAATGCTATTATTTTGCTGAAATTGTCGAACTAATTCATCTGATATTGTTTTTCTATGACGATATTTCTTTTTGACTTGATGTTTTTGTTTTCGAATATGCTGACCATTTGTAGATTTCTTCATATCTATTTTAATTATAGACAGTAAGGATAGACTAGACGTTTAAATTATCTAGAATGACAAGGAAAACAATAGAATAAAAAATGATTTTTTTTCGTTTTGTTGTTTGAGGTAAACAGATAGGGAAACATAAGGAAAGCAAATTATGTAATTATAACAATTCTAAATATTTATTTTGTTCTTTACAGAGGACGCAATCGATTGGATGTTGATTCTAAACAGAAAGAAAATATTCATATGCAGTATTCACGCTACGAATAACATTCTTATACCTATTCGTAATGGATCCTTTAATAATGATCCGCATGGACGTTTACGAGTTAATTCAAAATCTAGATTAGGATTATTTTGATCACCAACAACTAACCGAATATTGCTATGTTCTGTAGATTTAAAAATATCATTATGAATCTCATGGATCGATCGTTTTAATCCTGTTAATCTTGTTTCATGTACCCAATGAATAAAGATTGTATTCTGATATTTAATATGAAAGTTTTTCTTGATTGTTGTCTCTTGAATTGATGTTGTTGTTGTCTGTTGATTTGTTCGAATATTTGTCATAATATCAACTCGAGCAGCACT